TATAATACAATCCAAAAAAATATTTACGAGCAGAATTACTTGAAACTTGGTATTAATGCTCTTCAATAAAATTAATTAAATACGTGTTTTAGCATTTTTCGAAATTCCTCCCATAAGGGGTATACCCATAAATAGGCGATGAAAGTTTGTATGAAACTACCTTTTTAGAGATTTTTTGTAGTTTTAGCGCAAGCAAAGCCGCTGGTTCTGCTAGTATAATATAATCATCTTTTGTATTGTTTACATAAAAACTCAATAGCTACAAGATAAAAAAAAAAACGTTTGACAAACAGACGACAAAAAGATACTGAACTTTTCTATTTTATCTATAATATTTTAATATATAAAAAAAACTATTTCCAATTTTTTCATTGATAACACTATAGCTCGGCAATAACTTCTAAACAACAAAAAATCTGTTGATGAACAGACAGTTTTGTTTTCGCCTATTTATATATAGATCAGATGCTCACATAACCTTAAAACTTCGTCGGTGGTCTCTGTAACGTGACCGTGTCATAGTCACGTAAAAAGAAATTAAATAGTAATTTCAAGAGTCCCTAAGTGATATTTTAAGCAAAAGTTTATTATTACCGAAAAAAAGCTTATTTCTCTTTTGGATGGAGATTTCTTATGGTGATAGAATTATTAAAATCGGACCAGTAGTTTCATTATCGATGACAAACAAACAAATAAATATTTCCTTTTAATAATAATATAATATAGAAGTATTTTGGTCGATATAGATATCATACGTAAATTATCGCCAATGTCAGAACAGGCAAAGTTATTTTTATACCAACTTTTGTCTAATAACATTTACGCGAATATTTGTTGTTGTACAGATTAATAAAATTGAAGTATCTGTTTGTAATGTCAAAATAACAGCTTTTTACTAAATGCGTATGAAAGTATGTACGGTACTTATAATAAAAAAACAATTTAAAAAAAATGTCTGTTTGTTTCACATAAACTTTGAAGCGGCTGGATCTATTTTGACGGGACTTTCACTGGCATACAGCTGATGTTATAAGAAAATTAAAGCCCATGAAATTGCAAATAAAATCCGCGTATCACCACATCCACTAGATTAGCACTCGAACGGACCGAGGGCAAGTTGCTAGTTTTAAATAAAACTATCTTTTTTGGATATTTTTAAAGATTTATTGTAATTTTTAGTTTCTGAAAATTCGAATGAATGCTTTACAGCAACTTTTGTCTATGATTTACTGTTTCGACTCTAGTATTAATTATCAAGTTACATCAAGTCATACTAAGCTTTTCTCATAATGTTAAAATTTTCAGCAGACCTCTCTGTCTTTTCCGTATTATTATATGAATTTTATTAGTTTTAGTGTTACAGTTGTAGAAACAGTGAAAAACTAAACTGCCCCTTTAAGTTTAACATGAAAATTTGATGTTTATTAATAAAACTACTGTGGTTTTTACATTGTCATAGCTTTTTTATTTACGAACCTATTGAAATAAAACAAATTGGTTAAGCTGTTCTGAGATTAGCACGCACAAACGCATAGCCAAAAAAACAAAAATTCTAAAAATCATTGTTTTGGGTTCTATTGCGGTAATAAAGACCCCAATAATAGTTTTTCTCAAATAACTTCCATGTACAGACAGCGATTAGTTACACTTTTTATTATATGTATAGATATATATTCATTTTCAACATAATTACCACTTATGGTAAAGAAAACATCGTGTTATGTGTATTTAAAGCCCTTGATATTGGCAGATGTTACACAAAAAATTACTCATCCTGACAATAAATAAAACCTTTGAAATTTCACTGAATATTTTTAAACAAGTAAACTTAGTAATATTATGTTTCCGGAAGTAAAATTCATTGAAAAAGTTTATATTTAAGACTTTGAAAATCGGTTTAAGGGATCGAATCGAATATCTATTTTAGAAACGTAACAGAAGCTTCCAAACTTTCATAAGAAAGCTTATAGCATACTTAAAACTAAAGTTTAATTTTCTGAACCTAATAAAGAGTTATCGAAACCTGAGCATGTTTTTTAACTTTTGAATTAATATTTGTTAATTTGAGCATTTATCATTTAGAATAAGTATGAATAATTTATTGTTATTTTTTAAAAAAACCACTCGAACAATTTCGATAAAATGTATATGGGACTGTATACCATTACCTACTTACCCTGGGAAGCATACCCTGGGAAACAAAAAAAAACTTTCCAAATCGGTTCAGGCGTCTTCGAGTAATCGGTGAACATACATAAAAAAAGAAAAAAAAAGATACCGACGTATTGAGAAACTCCTCCTTTTTGGAAGTGGTTAAATTTTTAATTATACGTGGTTAGATTTTAATCATTTGATTGTCTGTCTGTGTATAGCATAATGTATTTCTAAGCCATCCTGGGTGTGACGTACTCGTATTGTAACTGAGTTTTTGTGAGCATTACTGAAAAAATACAAGCAAATGAATTTATCATCAGGCTCTCTCACTCAGCTCACTGCGCATGAGATATTATAGTGCACAAGTGTACGCGCAGGCTCCAGTGCACTTTCTATTTCTATCACGTACAAATTTCCATGGGATGATAATTCGACACAACCGGTGAGATATCAGGCGCAAACCGACGCATTTATGTGCTTTTGGAAGCACGAGGTTGAAACACCGCTAATTTCCCAACTCCGGGGTATTTATTACTGAATCTTTAATAACAAAAAGACTTAATAAGTAAACATGACCCGACCCGGGATTCGAACTCAGGACCGTTGGATGTGCAGCCATATACTAACGACTGCCACTTTACCACTGAGGTATTATGTTAAATTTGTGCATATTTACTAACCTACCAAATTAGAAATTTAATTCAAAATGAATCCTTTTAAACTTTTAATTACATTTAAAAACATAATTAAAATGTAAATATTTTTTTCTAAAGCCTCACCTTATTGTTAAGCTCTAAATAATAATTTGAACAATTTTGTAGCACCAATTCGGATAATGCCGTAGGGCTTGTTTACATTTTATCGTATCGTTACAAGAAGAATAAACGAACTTTTTATTTGTAAACTGGTTTAAATTTAGTATAAAAAATATAATAATTTTATTAATATTTTCCAACTATATGTAACTATTTGAAACAACCTAAATTTATATGTACTTACAGAAAAACTCAATTTACTGAAATACAAAGAAGCCTTTTTTGTATTGGCACATAAAAGTACAAACATACAAAACAACAAATCATTAAACATGAATATATCATATTTATGTATATGGTACAGTTTTTATAATTTGCTAGCGACTTACCCTTGCTTTGCTTATATCCCTAAGTGCGTTTTATATTTATAATATTATATATAGGCAGCGCCACCTTTTGGCAACTTTTGTTACTAACAGCAGCCTATGTGTTACCAAGAGGTCATAGTCTAACTTTGTAATAAATTTAATTTAAATCCTTCCAACCATTTTATCGTGAAGGAGAAACATTCTCACACATACAAACATTCACGTTTAATATTATTAGTATGATATACTAAAGATTATATTATATACATTAGCAGAACCCGCGGCTACGACCGCTTTCAATCTATAAAAAAAACTCTTTGGCTTTATGTTATACAGTGTCTATGTATTTATATAATACTAGAATTCTTAGGTTTTGCAGATTAGTATACTCTTACATTACAGTTTTTGCATTTTTTCTCAGAAATAAGATATTTTCCTGCGATAAAAAGTATTCTATATGTTGACCCGGATAACGAATTATCACCATATCAAATTTCATCAAAATCCCTCCAGTGGTATTTCTGTGATACGGTAACAGACAGGCAGACAAACATTTTGAAAACTATAGATTCGGCCTCTGTATCGATAATAATGTGTATTTCAATAAGATTTTCCAAAAACTATTTAATGTACAGATTCGGTTTAGTTACAATTTTATTATATGTATCAATTGTTCATACAAAAATTTAAAAATTCGAGGTGGGGGTAGGAGTATGAAAAATACTTTACGACCTATTCTCATACCTACCGAATATAAAAAAAAATCATTCAAATCGGTCGAGCCGTTTTGGAGGAGTGCGACCACAAACACCGTGACACGAGATATTTATATATTAGATAATAGTACAAATATATTTCTTTATTACAATGTAAACGACCTCCAACTGGTAACTCTTAAGCATTTCACAAAAACAATCCGCTTATATTTTCCAGGACGCATCCCAATCGGCAATAACTCAAAGGCTGAAAACGGCAATCGCTTTAAATTCTGAGAAAATATCCAAGCGTTTATTTACGTTATATTTAGCACCGGGTATTCGAGGCGCGACTGCGCCGTTAAGTTATTTAAAAAAATATGTTTATATATTAAATACATTTTATCCATTTCTTTTTTAATAGTTTTGTTTAAATATGGTGGTTTCGGTTCGATTTCCGAATCCTTTCTATATTTAGTGACGATAAACTTACGATATAGCTAGAATATAGAGTACTAGCGGCTCAAAACAAAAACAATCTATTCCTCGGGAACCGTATATTTTTCCGGAATAAAAAGTAGTATATGTGTTATTCCAGACTATAATTTATCTCTGCGCCAAATTTCATCCAAATTCATTCTGGCGTGAAAGAGTAACAAACATACATCCATACATACATTCTTACAAACTTTCGCGTTTATAATATTAGTAGGTGTAATGCTTTATCACTACGAACAAGCTGACTTAGAAGGGTATACATATATGGAAAAGTATACCTGAGTATTTTATGTCGAGATCAGGTGATTTTGTTCGCATTTTCCAGTATTCTATCAGCGATATCGCATGTAGAAAATCTCCATTACACGTACCGTATTGTTAAAACAATTAGTATAACTAAAACTAAAATACATATATAAATTGTAGAATACATCTAAATAATAAAACAAAACTTGAAATATCTATTCCGTTTGTTTACACATCACGTTAAAATCTAACACTATCTTAAATTATTAGGTACATGAACCTCAAACTTTTGTAAGGTGCTCATTACACATGAATTTGTTACATTTACCACATTTGGTTTTTATTTTCCTATCATTAGACCTCGCGAATGCAAAATAATCTTGTGAGCTCTTTGTCTTATTCATTGGCTTGAAGAATTTTTGGACCATTTGGTTTGCTTGTTCTTGGTTGTTGGTTTCACTCTGAGAATAGTGAAACCAATTCAGAAAATGAAGATGACCCTGCTCTTCATCTTCTGAGTTGGTTCCACTCTGCTTAGAGTCAGAATTATGATTTTGTTGTTCAGGTAAATGTTCTCCGAAGCCCAACTCATAGTCACTTTCATCAAATGGCTCCTCTTCATCTTCATTTAGTAGATTTGATATTTGCTCTATATTCATGTGATAGCTTGCCATTGTGTTTGTTCTTTTACCTGTAAAATTTAACAAATAATTATGAAACACAAGTTTGCATAAAATTGTGGAACAAAATAATAAATTGTTCATCATTATACTTACCAAAATTGTACTACACTATTAGTCGCGCGGGGTCCGTTGGACCCGAAGCACCTCCGTACGACACGTGTGATCGACGCCGCGGCTGGCCGAACACAGAAACGGGAGGGGCGGGTGAGCTAGGAAGCTACTAAAACGTACACTCGCGTAAGTGTAATATTTGCCGAAATATGACAAAAAACAATCTGGCTTGGGGTACAATGGTCCCCACACGACTAATTAAAGGTTAAGGTGAAGTTATCGCTATCAAAAATCCTAATAGATATCTAACCTAAGAGTTCTTCCACACAATACGTAGGCCCTTTTAAAAATTATAAAGCTATATATTTATATATATATATATATATATATATATCTGCATTAACACGTATATAAAAATTGTATATTTTTGGAACGGCTTGCCTATGCTAAAATTTCACCCTTTGCCACTGTAAAGCTATGTATATAAAATAACATTTAACGACATTTGTATTTTAAAAATTTAACTATAGTTAAGTGAATTATAATGAGATAATTATGTTTTTGTTATTTAAATTAAATCGATGAATGAAGGCTAAAGTAGAATGTTGGACGCTTAACCATTTAATTAGATTTCCAAACATACAGTTATACTTTTGATTGAATTAAAAAATATATAAGTTGCAATTAGTAACAGGATATTAAAAAAGCTCTACTATTAATTAAAAAAATACACACACACACACACGTTTAATGAGATAATTAATTAAAATGAAATATAATACTTTCTTAGATTTCCGCAAATACTAGACATTTTAAATAAAACTATCTTTTCCGATTATTTTCGCGGATTTATTTTGATTTTTGGATCCCGACGTTTCGAATGTTTTACAGCAATCATGGTCACGAGAGAGACTACGGTTTTAAATGTCTCAAAGGCATTATATAATTTTTGCAGACATACTACCCACAAAACGTAGTTTAAAGATAGTTTTATTTAAAATGAAATAAATTGTAATATTATTTTATCTTGTAACATAAAAATCTCCAAAATATCATCTTAGCTATACATTAAATGCTTAAAAACTAAATTAGTATTACGGCAGAGCTTACAATAATTGCAAGCTTAAAATAAAAAGTTTACTATCTTTCGTATTTAATTTGGTTGATTTTTAACATTTTCATTGCAAAGTTTAAGAAAAAAATGGCAAACCGTGGTGAAATTTCACTTATGAATAATACTCTCATTTTAACTAAGTTTTTACTAAGGAGATCTAGGTCAAAGTCCACAATAACATCTTACATAAAATATCAAAAGTAGATCATAAATTATAACCTTATTCAATATTTTTATCCGTCTTTATAGCGAGTTTTGTTCGAACTAAACCATCGCAACTAACGCAAACTGTAAAGACGCCTTGTTAGAGGAAAAACACTCTTATATTTTTAAAGCAAACCAAGCGACCACAGTTCATGGCCCCTGACTCCTATTCAACAACTCTCCACGAGTTTAAAGTTAATACTGAATGTAAAGTGCGAAAGGCCATCTTATAATAGCCAGCCCGACAAATACAATAAGGTCAAAGATGGAAAGCGGAATTTAATTAATGTAACATACTTTCAGAAATAACTACAACATCTCTTATATATAAAGGCCTTAAAGAACTTTAGTAATGGCTCTTTTAACGTTATTAAAGTTTATAAAATATCCAAATGTATTTTAAATAAAACTATCTTTTCGGATTTTGATTCCCGACGTTTCGAATGCTTTACAGCATTCATGGTCACGGGAGAGACTGAGATGTTAGATGTCTCAAAGGTATAGTTGCTGACTTTCTTTCAAAGGAAAGAGTACTGATGCTTAAACAATATAAAAGAATTTTTGGTATATAAATATTCTTATTTACATATTAAGTAAATAAAGTACGTGCAAATGCGGCCTTATCTAACAGCGAGTTTTGAGTTTGTGTTTGTTTTTAGATAAACTAAACGCTTTAATTGTTCAATTAATTTGAGTGGAATTTGAAATGAAGATATTTTATTAGCGGAATCGTATAAAGGTTATTAGTTCACTTTCTACTATGTGAAGCGACAGGGAAGATTCTAGTATGTTAATAATATAAAGCAAAGACGCTGTTTTTGTCTGTTTGTTTCTCCGCGAACTTGTTCCAAGCCACGCAACGGATTTTGATATAGTTTACATTATCATTTAGATAATTTCTTCCGGAAGGTTTGTATGTATAATACATGCATATTATAATAGATATCCATCTACTCCATACTAACCGCTAAAACGTACCTAGAGACGAACCCGAACAAAGCGACGACGGTGATTTGCTAGTATATAATAAGAGACAAACTGATTTAATACCTCAATATATAACTTCAAGAAAAAGCCTGTATCCAGTGGTGGGACGTTAATATTACTAAATACATATACATACACACATAAAATTTAAAATACTAGAAGGTTAGATTTACTCTTTTTAATCAAAAATGTGGCAATAGCTTGAAATACGAACAAATAGAGCAAACCACAATATGTAAATATAACTCTTAAATTAAAAACTTAACGAGTCCTCAACTCAATATCCTTTTTATTGAAGCCATTTCAATGAATATAAACACGATATCTCTACAGTACTAAGTAACTTATATACATAAGTTTCAAATCGATTAAATCTGTGGAAGCGCTCATAACCTTTTACAGTCTAGTAAGAGCTTTTAGCTTACAAACAGCTGAATGGATTTTCTTGATTAAAAGCTAAAAGTACTCTCGATCAAGCCATCTTTCAAACAAAAACCAACTAAATTAAAATCAGATCATCCGTTTCCGTATCATAATACCACAGACAGATGCACACGTTCAACTAACTACCCTCTTTTATTGTCAGGGGTTAAAAAAATATTTATACCACAAAGTAGGTTAGGGTATAGATTTGACGACACGTTTGGCTCAGTTTGTAGTGTCACTCTACTTGCTGTACCAGCGGACGTGGGTTTGAATCCCGCTGAGGGCACAAATGATTGTGTGATAAGCACGAATGTTTGTACTCCAGTTATGGGTGTTTATTATAATATGTATGTATTTAAATTTATATGTACATATATGTGTAGTGTATCAACATGGAACTAAATGATGTTGTGTGTTAATGTCCCAACATATTTATTATTATTGTTTATTAAATTTGAAATTTAACATTATTGTATTTTTAACCTAAGTTGATAAAAATCAAGTAAATTAAGTAGACAAGGAAAATATTGATATATTTCATATATACAAGAGTGTAGGTGTAAAAGTGTTTACCACAAAGTAATTTAGCCCTAACATTTCCCAAAGATTTATTTTTTTCCAATACTAAATCAGGATTTTTATAAGAAACCAGTGCTATAAAAAGTCTACCTTTACTTCCAAGAGAGATTTCATGAAGCCAAATAACACGACGCCTGTCGACTTTATAACTTTACTAGCTTTATGCTATGAGCGCAAAGAAAAAATATTTTTATATACACAGTAAGTCGTTTATTTATGTTTGTTTAAAATATTAAATGAAGAGACACTTTGATATTTAGTTTATTTAACCTTTCATAAAACATTTAAAAAATCTTATATTTAAGTGGAAAATATAAATGAATGTGGACTACGTTTTAGTTTAACTGACAAGTAGAATAGAAAAAACCATAGAATTAAGTTTAGCTATTCCTAAAAAAAAACTTTTTCATTAAAAAGTTATAATAAACGTACCTTTTATATGTAATAATGTAATTTAGACATAATATTTTATTTAAAAAAAAGAAAACAAAAAAAAACTAACGCCGATCAAATACTAATAATATATACTCGTTAGGAACACTGTTGAAGTTAAATCGGTTACCAATTGGTGATCGTGAACTAGGGCCTCCAATAACTTGAAATCTTTGTGATAGAACTGAGTCCAACAGTGGATGTCTTTGGTCTGAGATGATGATGATGATAACGATGATCATGGTGGTATGAAGATATCCGTGACATGATTTATAACACAAAATTATAGCCATAAACGACTCATCCTCGCTCCTCTCGGGTTTGTCCCTAGTTACGTTTAGTATAGATTTCTCAGAGACGGGATATTTTCCCGCAATAAAAATTATCCTATATGTTGGCCCGGATAATCATCTATCATTACACTACATCAAAATTTGTCCAGTGGGTTTCTCATGATACGGTCATAAACAAGCAGACGTATTGTATCGATAATAATGCTTATTTCAATAAGATTTTCCAAAAAATATTTAATGTTCAAATTCAACTCAATTAGAATTTTATTATATGTATAGATATTATTATTTCCTCATATTTAACCACGTACAGCTCACAAATTTAAGTAAAACACGAAACTTTAAATTATTTTACTTCCCATTATACATTAAATGTAAAAAGCCGCATATTTACATAGAAAAGGCATGAAAGTAAACTATTTTCATCCAGACGTATTATAAAATGTTGGCAGATAGAGGAAATCTTATATCTAGAAGTGCTCTCGTGGTATGGCTACATCTATTAAAAGCCTTTATGTATGGAACACGTACGATGCGACTCTTGTTACCTGAGTACCGTACGTTGAATTACAGAATTTAGCTTTTGTGTGGATGCAAGTTTCAGCTTTTAAGTTTATAGGTATAATCATGAAAAGTACTTTGCACTTATATATTTAATGTAGTGTTGCACTCGTTCTGTAAATTGTTCTGCATCTATTATGTGCTTTGTCATAATGATATGATTGTTTTTCTAACATGCTTCTGTATACTTAATGTATGAGGATCCAGACAACTCATGCTACCGTTAAGTATATTTATCATGCGTACATAATTCATACTAATATTATAAATGTGAAAGTGTGTTTTTTTGTTTGTTTGTCCTACTTTCTTGTCAAAACAGAGTGACAAATTAACGTGATTTTTTGTGTGGAGATGGAGGCTTAGAGAGTGACATAGGGTACTTTTTACCGCAGGAAATTATCTCATTCCCATGGGAAAACACGTTATAATAGAACCAATAACAACTCATCATACCTATGTAGTATGTATACACTACACATGTATATGATATGTAGTCTATCTGTTCGATACTAATCGTTAAAACGTACCAAGGTACGTACCCGAGCGAAATGAGTGTGAGTCGCTAGTATAATTATAAAAATAAGAATAAATACAAATATTTTATTTTAATGACTATGGCTGCATCTAAGTGTTTTCTTTTAATTATCGCTCTTTGCCCCAATTAATTTATTTTGTGCCTTTCTGATTAATCTATACATAATAATATTAAAATTCTAAGTGAGTCAAATCTGTACATAAAATATTTTTTGGAAAATCTTATTGAAATAGACATTATTATCGATACGGAGGCCGAATCTATAGTTTTTAAATTTTTGTCTGTCTGTCTGTTTGTTACCACATCACAGAAAAACAATGGAGGGATTTTGATGAAATTTGGTATGGTCATAACTAGTTATCCGGGTCAACATATAGGATACTTTTTACCGCGGGAAAATATATCTTTTCTGAGAAAATATACAAAAACTGGCTAGAATAAAACCACGATGATACTATATACATTTTAGCAAAGTAACTAACTAAATATGAGTTGTAACAAATATGGAATTTCATATATTATTTAAGTGAATGCTTATGAGATTTTTTTTTATATTAAGATTTAATTTGATTTTAGCAAGATATTTTATACTGTATTTCTTAACTGTGTAGTGTACGTATTTTTAGTGAGTTTATTAGCTAATAAGGCATTCATTTACAATACAAAAGTTGTGCTGTTTGACTAAGTACTTCATTTACAAAATGTAGTTTTCAAATTAAAAAGCATATTCATCTAGTTGCAACATGACTGTATAGAAGATGAAATGAGTTTTTTAAATAATTATTATGATATTCATAGATGGCAGACATGTGCAAAGGTTATAAAATGTTTTGTTTTCCACATCTTTTGTCCGGTTCCAACTTAGTTTACAAAGCATAAATTTCCATATATAAATAAATTTATAAAATCAATCAAAAACCAAAGTCAGATCTAACTTCCTCCATTTAAATTTCACCGTTGGCTATATAAACGAGCTAGCCAATAGGAACTATATATCGTTGGTTCACTATTACGAGGTTCTATGTTACAATTTTAGTACTTATTTTGTTATTAATGCTACAAGGTCCTATGTGTCATTAGCTACAGTTTTGCAAAAACAAACCACTAGATAGCGGCACTTTAACTACAAAATATTCAATTTTATAATAGTAGTTCTATGTCGTTTTTTTTACGATAACAAAATAACGAAGTTCTATGTGAAAATTACTAAACTTCATTAAAATTAACATAGAACCTTGTAATAGTAATCCAACGAATTTATGTACATACATACATAGGATATTTAAGCAATAAACCGAAATCTGAGTCTATTTCAAGCGACACACCTCTCTCACAAGTTACCAATGCTTAGAATGCACGCCTGCATACAATAAAACAAATAATACCTGGCCAGTCGGATCCTGTAACGCTTTGCTCCCGATAACGTTGAACATAATGGACTATAAAATTTCATAGTCGCATCCAAGCGGTTTTCAATTAAAACTTAAGCTTTGCTATCTTCGATCAATAGTGTGACCATTCAGATTGAGGATTTAGTCCAAACTGTTGGTATATAAATGAAAATGTACAGTAAACTCTTATATATTAACAGTTAACTCTTATATATTAACTAGCGACTCACCCTCGCTCCGCTTGCGATCGTTCCTACTTACTTACGTTTTTTTTTCTTAGAAATGAGACATTTTCCCGCAATAAAATATCCCGGATAACCAGCTATCATGATACCAAATTTCATAAAAATCCGTCCAGTGGTTTTTCCGTGATGCGGTAACAGACAGACAGACAAAAATTGTAAAAACGATTGATTCTGCCTCTGTATCGATAATAATGTTTATTTTAATAAGATTTTCCAAAAAAATATTTCATGTTAGAATTTTATTATAATGTATAGATATTTTGAATTTAAAAGATATTTTAAAAGAATATAGTTTAAAAAAGTTGTATTTTTAGGTTTTGTAGTGAAACTATTCATAATTTTTACGTTTAGGTATGGTTAAATAATACTAGCTGGATTATATGTATGTATTTAGCCCTCTTTAAGGTACCATTGCTGGCACGGGCCTCCATTCAATACCGAAGGATCAGGCCATATTTCATCACGCTGGCCGAGTGTTCAAGTGTTCAAGGCTTCAAGTGTTCCAAAAACTTGCTAGGTTCTCTCAAACATGCAGGTTTCCTCACGATGTTTTCTTTCACCGTAAGACATCTTCTCTTATGAATTAATTATTACCATATCGGTATTATAAATAGGAAAAATCTCCAGACCAGCAGACGTACAAGCTAATGACTAGACCACCAAGGCAGTGGTGATAAGAATAAAGAGCACACCTGTTACGTAACTTGTATATAATTTAATTGTATTACATAATCTAAATACGGACTAGCAATTGTTTCAGGATGGTCATCCTATAAGTACAGATTTCATGCCACGGTTAGCACAAACCTAATTTATTCCATGTAATTTGCCCTCATATCTTAAGTATACTTCTAAAACGATTTGTTGCTGCTTCCTAGCTAAGTTATTTTTTTTTACTAATTCTCGTCTGCCGTTTCACTCGCTCGTTGAAAATCAAATTTTGTATTTTTACTATGGTGAAGCAAAAGGAGGGTTATGATTTTGACCGGTACGTCATACCACGACTATCCTCTAAACATCATTATGAATATGTATTAGATACATTAAAATATGTATATTACGTATATGTTGTTATTTAATAGACGATAAATATTCAATAGTTTGTACATAACAATTCAGACGAGAATATTTTCTGATTTCATACTTTTGTGCGTGCGTGCGTTTTTGAGCGTGATTTTTCAGTAATCGAGTTTTAGTTTTTGAACTTACTTTTTATTATTTTATTGGAAATATGCACCATCGACATAACATAATAACACTATAACTTTTTTTTGTAAATCTTTTTTTTTTACATTTAAAAAAAAAATTATTGTTGTTAAATCGAAAAATACAATATTACTTACAATAAATAAAAAAAATAAAAAAAAAACTTAATTATATACAAAATACACAAAACAAAATATGTACACTTAGTTATTACTGTACTACTCGTAGTCACACACTATAATTATTCAACAATACATCATCATCTGCCTTCTCCCAATTTTATTTGGGGTCGGCGCAATATGTTTTATTCTTCCATTCTACTCTATCATTCGTCGTTTCTCTGTTTACTCCCATTTTAGCCATATCCTCTTCAATAAATAAAATAAATATGTCAGGACATTAACACAACACCATCTAGTTCCATGGTAAGCTACGAGGCTTGTGTTATGGATACCGGATAGTTAATACACTACACATATAAAACTTTAAATACATACATACGAGTATTATAAATATAAACATCCATGACTGGAGTACAAACATTTGTGCTCTTCACACAAATGAAGGACCCCAGCGGGACTCGAACCCGCGACCGCTGGCGCAGCAAGTAGGGTCACTACAAACTGAGCCAAACGTGTCGTCGTCTTCAATACAGTCCACCCATCTTTTCTTTGGTTGTCCTCTTCTGTTGTCTCCGTCTACTTCCATACATAAAACTCTTTTCACCACACTTTGCTCATTCCTCCGCATCACAATTATTCAATACATATGTACATATATGTATGTATATGTAATGCGGTACGAATAGTCTTTACAAGTGTATACAGCATTTCACTTACAATTGTTGCGTGCGATTAAAAAGTGCTTGTTACAATGCAAACTAAAAGGAATATTCAAACAATTATATATATATATACTCGTAAAACCAACAAATCTTAATATATAAAACTGACATAATAATATATTATAGCGCTATAGCGCTAAAAATATTATTTCAACTTTAAATACCAATAATGTGTACATTTAAGCATTTTAATTTGGCATTTTAAGCATCAGTTCAGTAGTTCCATAGATTATCCACTACAAACGAACAAACTTTACCTCTTTAAATGGTCTGACAAAGGTTTTCACGCGTAGGAACGTAAAGTTGCTTACGGAATTAAAAAGGGCTAAAAGCACCTTATCTATGGCAGTACCTTCGTCACAATTTCATTCATGCAGAAAGTTGTCCTTGAGAAATAATAACAGTAAGATATAAAGAAGGTTTGATGAAAATTATAAACACAAAAACTTTTTTGGCTGTTTAAATAAATATGACACTGTCTCTAAACTTAATTTAAGCCTCTTACTCTAAAGCTAAAAAAGCACTATTTTTAAAATCATTTTAAGAGTAATCATTCCACTTAAAGGGATGCTGGGAGATTAAAATATATATGGACCACCCTTAAGGGAGAACCTACTGATTAGAAACAAATCAAGAAAACAGATAATAATTGGTGAAGATATCGCGTAATACAAAAACATACAACCGGAATAGCTACTTAATCCTTTTTTGAAATCAATCGTCTATATATAAATAAATATATTATAAAAACGTAAAGTTTGTGAATTGTGAGTTTGTGACGTTATATATCTCTGGACCTACTGAACCTATTAAGATGAAATTTGGTAAAACGATAGTTTGAGACCCTGGAAAGAACATAGGATAATTTTGATCCCGAAAATCATCGCTTGAGGGGTTGTAAATGGGGATTAAATTTGTATGGGAAATCAACCTAGGGACGAACCCCAGCGAAGCGAGGGTGAATCGCTAGTATATAAATAAACAAAGACCTTTTTCTCCCCTGTTTGTTAAACGATTTTCTTGTTTTTTAGCTATTGACAAGATAACATTAAATGTTATCAAGAAAAAAAATTCGAAACAGTTACATTTAAAAAAATATTGGGAAAGACAAACTGTTTAGTATCTTTACTTCTTGTTCTTGTTTGTTATCCGATTTTTTTTCCTCTGTTTAGTAGCTATTGACAAGCTTTTAAGTGTTATCATTAATATATATACACATATATATATATATATATATATATATATATATATATATATATATATATATATAATTTGGTCTAATATATTCTCCTCAAATAAAAAAAAAATATTACGGTCGATTTTAGACCACTGGGCAAACACTAGTTAAAATATATAGAGAAAATCCGAACTTTATAGGGTTTATTTAATTATATATAAATGAATGAAGACTAATTATTAATGCTATAACTATCCAAAACCAATATTCTAATCACGTATTGTTACAAGCACAATAGAACAATTATACTTAATTTGAAATATACACAACGTGGGTTGATATCTCAGTACACTTAATACTCGTTAGATATTCAAGGCTTAGAATATCATTCAATAGATAAACTCAGATTCAAAATATACTGTAGTCAAGAACTTTTACAATTACTTCATTCCTTATCTGTATTCAGCCCTTTTTAACCACTACTGGGCACGGGCGAAATAAAGGGGTGATCGGGCTATAGTCCACCACGCTGGCCAAGTAAGACAATGGTAGCCCAATAGTATCGCGCTCGCTTGGGAAACCGAGTGAAGGGGGTTCGAAATCGGGTCTCGCACCTCTGATATTTACATGTACGAATCATTTCCAACAAGATTACCACTTATCTAACGGCAAAGGAAAACATCTGAGGTAATCTGCATGTCTGAGAGAACCTAGCAAGTATTCGAAAGACATGTGATGTCCGCCAAAACTCCACATTTCTTATACTACTTTCATAAATGCAAAAGTTTGTATGTATGTTTGTTACTCCATATTGGTTACTGTTAGTAATAAAGTTTGCCGAAAGATGGCGCTGAGTCTATATAATATTATAAATACAAAAAGCAGCAACAGATAAACCCAAGCGAAATGAGACTAAGTCGCTAGTTAATTATAAATATAAGAAATTTCAGTGTTTTCAGTCCATAAAGAAGCTTCCTTATAGTAACAACCAACCAACGAAGTGGTAAAATATGTATATTCTTATACGCTAAAGGCTACAGGTTTGATTCTCGTTCATCATCAGATCATTAAATTAAAAAAAAAATAATAACAATATTTGAAAAAAAAACATTCTACATGATTGGTTTATCAACATACACCAAATGTAGTTAAATTTTAATTTAATATGAAATTTATATTCATATTTAGAAGCTTTTAAGTGAGCTTTCCTTTAAATATCTCCATCTCTATAAATAAATGTACTTAAGTAATTAGAGTAAACATTCTGGTTTTAAGCTTCCGCTCAGGGAATAACGAATATTAAAAGCAAACACGATGTTTAAATCAAAGGGTCAAGTCAAATGTAACGGCTTTCATAGTATAAATAAGCTCTTTGAGATGAGGAAAGTAGGGCATGCAAGAGCAAATAGCGCCCATTCTTATGTAAATTTTTAATATGTTGCCTTATATCAATACCTGGAACATTTGTGTTGTTCTTCTTCCAAGAAAGTCATGCTGCAATGCGAATAATAAATCTTTTAAATTTATTTTAAACTAGCGACTCACTCTCGCTTCGCTCGGTTTTGTCACTAGCTTGATTCCCCATACAAACTTTTATCCCCATTTTCACTCAATTAAGGAATGATTTCCGGGATAAAAAGTATTTCCAGGGTTTCAAACTATCATCTTACCAAATTTCATTTAAATCGGTTCAGTAGATCCAGAGATTACCCCCTACAACGTCACAAGCTCACAAACTTTGCCTCTTTATAATATTAAGTATAGATGTATCTCGCATATTATATATACTAGGTACTAGCGACTCACCCTCACTCAGTTCGGGTTACGTCCTAGATACGCTTTAACGTTTAGTATAGATTTCTCTGAGATGAGATATTTTTCCGCGGTAAAAAGTATTCTATATGTTGAACTTTAGGTTTTAGAGTAATCTATACATATAATAAAATTGTAATTAAGCCGAATCTGTACATTGAATATTTTTTGGAAAATCTTATTGAAATAGACATTATTATCGATACAGAGGCCGAATCTATAGTTTTTAAAATGTTTGTCTGTCTGTCTATTACCGCATCACGGAATAACCACTAGAGGGATTTTGATGAAATTTGGTATGGTGGTAACTGGTTATCCGGGTCAACATATAGAATACTTTTAACTGCGGGAAAATATCAAATTTCTGAGAAAAAATACAAAAACTGCATTGTAAGAGTATAATAATATGTAAAACTTAAGAATTTGGTTTTTAGGCATTTGAACGCGGGCTGAGCTGCGGTCAGTGCTAGATTTTTATATGAAATAATTGCCTTAATAATGTAGTGGTCATATATTCGAATTTCTGACTAAAGTATCGCCCATATAAGCATGCTAGTAACCCACTTTAGTTAGATACATGTACTGATGAATGAACTATTCATTCACTTGGTACTTGAAAAAAAAAGATAGAGTTTCTAATACTTTATGGCCTAACGTACCTACGCAAATCCTATTTTTAGCTCCATTGCTTATGGCGCTTTGATTTTTTTTTTCAAATGAAAAAATATGAACTCAAAATCTTTAAAACTCAGTAGGTTGGAATCTAAATTATTTTTTTTATTTTTAGCTAGAATAGTTCAAGTTATTTTTTTTACACATAGGAATTCCTAAACATTAAAATATATTGTTTTATTTTATAAGTAGATATACTAGCAGCTCACCCTCGCTTCACTCGGATTCGTCTCTAAAACAGGAAGCAAATCTTTCCTAGAAACCGTACATTTTTCCTGAATAAAAAGTAGCCTATGTGCTATTTCAGATCTATCTCTGTACCAAATATCATCTAGATTCGTTCAGCCGTCCTGGCGTGATTGAGCAACAAATATCCAAACATCCATCTAAACATTCACATTTATAATATCAGTAAGATAAAATGGTAGAAAATATTCATGAAAAACAGACAAATATTATAAACACTTCGTAAATAAGTACCCTCTAAAAACAAAAATACGTAAGAAATAACATCTCCAACATTTGCAAAAACTATATTTTGGACACAAATAATATGTAATTTCAAACCTATTGAGGTAAAAATTCTAAAATAAAGCAAATTAAACCATAAATAAAGAATACTAAGGTCTTGAATTTTTTTTCTACGTGACCTTTTTTTTCAGAGCCAAATGATTAGAAAAGAAAGATAGTACCTACGTGAAGATGAAAAAACAACTACGCGAGATGTCTGGCTTACTGATCTAGAGAAATCCGGGATTTAAGCAGTAAGCTACGAACGAATATATATATATTTTATATGTTAGGACATTAACACACTGCGCCATTTAGTTCCATGGTAAGCTACGAGGCCTGTGTTATGGATACCAGATAGTTGACACACTACACATGTATAACTTTAAAGTTTAAATATATACATATTTTAAATATAAACACCCATGACTGGAGAACAAGCATTCGAGCTCATCATACAAATGAATGTCCCCAGCGGGACTCGAATCCGCGACCGCTGGCACAGCTAGTAGGGTCACTACAAACGGTGCCAAACGTACCGTCAATTTCGATTCGATTGATTCGATTATTATATCTTTTTAACTCATTGACATTTCTTAAAACTAGCGACTTACCCTCGCTTCACTCGCAATTTTTTTTAAGCTGAACGCTAATTCTTTTTCTAACATCAAAGTAGCCTAAGTTACTCTTTATACCATCAGCTATCTATCAGAGAAAATCCCATCAAAATCAATCAAGCCGTTTCTAAGATTAGCCAGAACAAACAGACAGACATATTTTTTTTGTTTTTCTTATAAGTACCTTATATAATTTCATATGCATTTAGTAAAAAAGCTGTTATTTTCTCATTACAAACTTACATTTCTATTTTATTTATCTGTATAGTTAATGTAATATTTCTATTATGTTTAATAATTCAATATTTTCTGAAATAATAACAATTATTGCAAATTTAAAAAAAAGAAAAGAACTAACTTGTACAATATACATAAAAACGCTTTTAATGTTTAACAACGAGAGAGAGAGAGAGAGAGAGATTTCCGAGAGATTTGTTTCATTGAAGTCTAAATTGTATGAGAATATAACATAATATCTATTTTAATCTGTACTAATATTTTTAAAAGGTAGAGTTTGTTTGTTTGATTGATTGTTTGGACGCGCTAATATCGGGAACTACTAATTTGTTTTGAAAAACTTTTTTTATATTAGATAGGCCGTTTATTGAGGAAGGCTGTAAGTTATATATCATCACGCTACTACACAAGGGAGCGGAGCAGTAATCATAAATGTCAACAAATCGGGCAAACTTCCATATATTATCGTAAAACTGATGTTTATAATCAAACAAATATAACGCGGGTGAAACCGCGGGGCAAAGCTAGTCATTAATACATTGAAAATAATTTCATTTCCAAACAGAAACCTACGTGAGCTGTTAATCAGAAAAAAATACTAGAATGTAAAAACTAACTTGTTGGAAAAGATCTAAAAACGTTTTTAATGTTCTACAACGCTCGAGTCACTAAGGAATTGTTTCATGGAACCGGACGCTCTGCTTCAATTTTTCTTCCATTTAATTTTGTAGCACATCTCCTGCTACTGTGGGAATATATCGATCATATGCAGCTTGAATAACGAATCTGAAACTTGGACATAACTTGATATTATAATACCGCAATTGTCTTTTATAATATTGATTCTAAGAGAGTTCTTAAAAAATACATAATACATATACTGCGGGTTTTGCTTACATACTATCTATAATTTATAGATTATACAATTATTAAATGACATGTACATGAAGTTTAATACAAAAACATATTTTACTAGAGACTTATTCTCGCTTTGCTCGGGTGTGTTCCTACGAGTAAGTATAGTTTTTCCCCCGATATTTTGAATGCTTTAGAACAATCATGGTCTCGGGAGATTCTAGGCTTTTAGACAACTCAGAGGCCATTATATAGTTGTTAGAGATAATGCCTACTCACAAAATTACACGGTGATTTAAAAAAATACTCAAATGACACCTAAGTAATTATTTTCTTTATTAATAACACTATAGCATCACGAGCTTCTCAGTAGCCTCTCAAGTATATGGCCATTTTTAGACCCAAATCACTCGTTGCTTAGTACCGCTGGGATCTCACAATAAAGCAATTTTTCAAGTCGTGTCCTAAAATACGACATTTTGGTCACGATACGTCTATATGTTTAGGTATTTTTTTTTTCTAAAGATTGTTTTTGCTCGGGTGCGTTAATAGGTATATCTCAGTAAGTAGCCTATGTGGTACTCCAGGTCATAGTCTAACTGTATGCTAAATTTCATCCAAATCTATCCAGCCATCTCAGCGCAAAGAAGCAACAAAACACACACACACGTACACACGTACGTACCAATCTCATGGGGTTTAGCTGAATAGGAGTGTATAAACGAATGCACTTGAAATCGCACATGAAAATATCAGAGGTGCGAGACCCGGGATTTGAACCCGCTTCACTTGGTTTCCCAAGCGAGCGCGTTACCACTGGGCTCCCACTGCCTCTTATGTGAAAATAATTAATTATTGTATTTTAATTGCAGATATTTCATTACATACACAGATAAAAAATATGCAACTAAATCGAGTATCTTCTTTTTGAAGTTGATTAAAAAAATTATTCCATTATCTTAAAAAAATATATACTATCTCAGAACGAACTAAACATTTTATTCTTGAAAATTTCTTAATTAAAATTTACTATGTAGCAGTATAAGCCCTTAAGCTTAAGGGCTGGCTTAAACCTTGAGAAGAATATTATTTCGAACTAACTGATCTTGTACTAAATTGAACATTTTTAATAAAAAGAGCTTTTTTATAAGATATTTCACTTAGTTTTCATGCACTAGCTTTAAGATACGTCTTCGTTTATAAGCCAAAGTACACAGTAAACGTAAATTATGGTAAATTATAGATAAGTTTAAGGAAGCAATAATAAACGTGGCTAAGCGTGAATCTTTCTCGCGGTGAAGTTTTAAATTATTTATTTATTTTAGTTTTGGAACACCAACAAGAAAATCTTATTAAACAAATTGCGGCATAAAAAAAGCTGCTGCTATTCTTAAATAATCAAATTATGTATAGTGTCAAAATCTCTAACATAAATAATATAAAACGAATAGTTTGAAATTAACAAGTATAAACTTCTCAATATGTATGTTTGTATGTGTCCTTTTCAACGTCCCACTACTGATGGTTTCTGTATTAATTACTTATAACATAAAGCCAAAATATGTTTTTTTTTTGTAGTTCCAACGTGGGCGAACCGAAAAGCGAATTTTTTTAATGTTTTAATACTTATTATCTTATTCCAGTCTAAGAGAAACCAAAAAATCTAATATCGTAAAAATTTGTCCAGCCGTCCTTGAGTTATAAATGGTGTAACTAACAGAACTTTTTTTATATATTATATATTTACCTTATTTTATATTTTTTCTCTTTACTAACACTTTCCGTGTACC